CGCGGCTCCTCTGGCCCTGCAGGCACTCGGCGCTCGGCTCGGCCGCGCCCGACTTGGCCCAGAGGCCGCCCGGGCCCCGGAGCCCCGGCGGCTCGGGCTGTGGAAGGCACCCGGGCGCGGAGCGGAGCGTGTGCGGAGACGCCGGCTCCGGGGCACACGTGGAAGCCGGCTCCTGCAGCCGGAGGAAGTCCAGGGTCGCGGCGAGGAGGCAGCGGGGCCCCGGCTCGGGGTGGGTGGGTGAATGAGTGGGAGGGAGGGCAGGAAGGGGGAGCCGACAGGCGGTCGGGGTGCGGAGAGCCCCCGGGCGTGGGCGCTGCCTTGAACTCCTTACCCCAGCTGCCTGGCTGCCCCCAGCTTCCCAAAGCTCAAATAAGAGGGGCCGGCGGCGGGGGAGGAGGAGGAGCCAGCAGTCTCGGCTGCTCCATTCACACCGCAGCCCCAGCCGGTCCAGGCAGCGCGCGCGGCTCCTTGGGGGTGCCCTGGCAGTGGGGCTGGGGGGGCGGGCCTGAGGGAGCGTCCCTCTCGGAGACACCCTCCTCTCCTACCCGCCACGCGCTCAGCTGGCCTGTGGGACACAACCCTCCCCCTCCTCCCCTGCTCGGCCTTCGCGAGTGTGGGCGCCTCGGGGCACTGGCGAGTCTCTCCAGGTGAGCAGCGAATGTCCCCTCTGCTGACTTGTGTGATGGGGATAGGGAGGGGGTTGTCAATCTGAGAGGGCGGGTTAGAAGGAGGGGCAGGGGGGCTCAACCGGGGGCGGGATCTTGAGGAAAGCGCAGAGAGCTTTCCCGGATTCCCTTGCTCGGCGCCGGCGAGTCCATTGGGCTGGAGTGGTAGCCATAATCTCGGGGTCACCGGGGAGGGGGTGGCCCCTTGTGGGTTCCGGAGGCCAGACTCCAGGCCAACGTGGGTGACCTGGAGGGGCTGCATCAGTTGTGATAAACAGGGCGTATTTCGACCGTCGTTTTACTTGGTGAGGTTTGCGCCCAGGGGAGGGCAGTTGCCGCCTACTTAAAATCGGTGTCAGCGGCACTTAATCTCCCCTTCTAGTGAGTATCTTACTCTTCTACGGTGAAGCCGGGAAAACAGCGGCTAGTTTGGGGGTGGGGGGAATTAAACCCTTAGGGAAACGCGCAGCGCATGCAAACATTCCGGCCAGAGAATCCTGGCGCCCAGTTTGGGGGCGGGGGTGGGGAGGGTTTGAATACTAAGCCCGCGGGGAGACGCTGGCTTCTGGAGCCGCTCCCGCCGAGCTCTGCCTCCGCTCGCGGTCGGGAGTTCCATTCTGGATGCGCAGAGACTGGTCAGGAGGCGAAAGCCAGTTAGGCGGACGAGGAGAGCCTCCAGCGGCACACGGTCCACAGCACTGTTCGCGCCCTAGGAGCTCCGAGCGCCTGGCGTCGCCAAAGAGGACTCTCCCTCCACCTCCTCACTCTGGGAGCCCCGCGCCCCAGAGCAGGTGTTTGAGGTTTTGTTTTGTTTTTTGGTTCTTCCAAGGTAGTCGGCATCTATGGAGAAACGGGCCCCAGGCAAGGAGAAGCGCCGAGAACCCGAACTGGAGTGCGTTTCAGGGGCGCGCGGAAACGCCCCGGGGAGCCGGGAGGCGGCGGAGACGGCGCAGCCTGGGACGGCAGGGAGCGCGGGGCGGGGAGCGCCGGTGGGCCTGTGCCTCTCACCCCAGGCGGGCCGGGGAGGGGGCTCGCGGCTTTCCAGCCAAGCCCTCGTGAAGCAACAATCAAGGAAGTTGCAGTTTTACAAAGAAACCGCGCGTTTTAAACGCCTTGACTTTCTTACGTTTTGGGTTTAATCTGCACCGAGTGAACGAAGTAGCTGTCAGTTCCGGCCGCGGACCCGAAGCGTGTGTGGGCTCGGGACCCAGACCCTCAGCGCAGCTCCCTCCTTCTGGGGTCGCTGGTCCTGGGGAGGCGGGAGACCGTGAGGGCAAAGGTCGGGAACCAGCGCTGCCCGCTTGTCCCCCGGCCTCCTCCGCGGGCGTGGACACCTCTCTGCGCTACTTTGGTACCTTACGCTGTTGGTCTCCACTCAGCAGCTTTTAATTTTTATTTCAGAAATGAAAAGGCGCTAGAGGCCAGCGCCCCGCCTCTCCCGCGGGCCGCGTCTCCAGCCCCGCCGCGCGCCCTGGGCTGCACGGAGGGCATGCGCGGTGGGTCTGTGTGGTGAGAACCGCCCCCGAGACTAAACTTCTCGGCCGAGTTACCCCTAGAACGCCCAGACCGCTGTCTGACCCCCACTTTTATTCCTACTTCGGAGCCGTTTTTCTTACTTAGGACTCAGGCGCCACGAGGGAAGGAGAGCCCTGGATAAAGAGCCAGGGATTTCCATCTCCAAACGAGAGGGTGGAAATTGTTTCTCTTTTCTCCTCCTCGGCAAGTTTTTTGGTGGTATTTGGAGGAGGTGGTTTGAATGTGAGCTGTGGTGTTTTTAGATCCCAGATAGGGCAAAGGCGCCTAGCTCTCGGCCTTTATGTTAATAAGAAAGAAAGAAAAAGAGAAGTTTTTGCCGGGGGTGGAGTGTGAAGGGGGTGAGGGGAGGAGGGTGCCGAGGAAATTTCGGACTCCTCTCTCCTTCGCTGAGTGTTGCCTGAGGATCCTCGAGGGAGGGAAGAGTAGCGATGCACCCCCGTTCGGGCCCCGGCGCCCCCGCACCCGGACCTGCAGTCCGCAGCGGTGGGAGGAGCCGCGAGTTCCGCGCCCCGCGCCGCCCGCAGGCAGAGGCCTCGCGGACCGGAGGTCTGAACGCCCCCAGCCCAGGCGCCCCTGGGCCGACGCCGAGGACCCGCAGACCCCCGCGGTCGCAGGGCCCCGGCTCCTGCTTCTTCTCCCCGACTCACCTGCTCTGCGGAAGCTCTGCGGTGACCCAGGCGGGCGCCGCCACCACGCTGGCCCCGGTGCCCCCAGCGGGATCAGGGCTGCGCCCTCCGTCCGCCTCCGCAGGTCGGCGCGCTCCTGCACCCCGGTAGTCGAGGCCCGCCCGGCACCGGCTGGTCCCTTCTCTCAGCGCAGAGACCTGCGGCACAGAGGGTCTGGTTTGCGTCACCCATTGGCAGAGCTAGACGTTCAACTCCTTTTCTACAGGGAAGGAAACTGAGGCACAGACGGGCGGAAAGGCAGCTGTGGAGCGCAGTGGTTAAGAGCAAGGACGGTGGCCAGAGAATGGCATCTCAGCTCCACCGGATAACGAGCAGCTGTGTGACCCTAGATGAGTTTTGGAGCCTCTCTCAGCCTCAGTTTCCTTTTTGGTCAAACGGGATAGTGGGTCACGAGCGCCCACCTCATGGGGACTCGAGGATTGGACAGGAGGATGGTGTTGGCCTATGCCCTCAATAAACGTTACCATTTTTGTGTCTATTATTGTTCAAGGACACGTAGCAAGTTAGTGGCAAAGCCGAGCCGAAACCCGGGTCTCTCAAGGTCCAGCTCGGGCTTTACCCCCTACCCCAAGCCCCTCTAGAGCTAAAGGAAGGGAGGGAGGGAAGAAGGAGGGAGGGAGAGCGGGACGCTGGAAACCCATGTGGCTTTGGAACACTGCTAAAGCTCATCCTGGCCTGAAGGTGCTTAATTATTGTGGGATCAAAAACTCGCGGCCGAGTGGGAGGGGACAGTGGGGACCTCTAAACCCCACTCTGACCCCGGCGCTGTCAACTGCCTTGCCGCCGCGGCCCCCGGGACGAGCGCGCCCCCGACTGAGTAAACACGCCGAGACTGCCGCCGGTCAGGGGCTGGGGCCGCGGACGACCGGAGGAGGGCACGGCCGGCGCTGGACCAGCGGCCTGACCGCCGCTCCTCCGCCCGGCGGGCCCCAGCGCGGGACTCCGCCCGCCCTGGGCGCTGGGCAGGCGCTTGGGCGGTAGAAATCCCAGCTTCATTTCTTTAAATTAAAAAAAAAGGAAGGGAGGGACTTTTGTGTATTACAGTCCGCCCCGCCACCCCCCCACCCCGGCCTCCTCTGTTCATTTGAAAATTAACTCGATCTTTTGACCAATCCCCCATCTCCGGTTCAAACTCAATTCTGCGAGCCGCTTTGGGGGCCCAGGCGGGTGCGCCCTGCCGGGTGCGCCGTGCGAATCCCCCTCTTCCCCCTCTTCCCCTCTTCCAGGCTCGGTGCCTGGAACCTCCAGGGCCACCGTCTGTCCTGATGCCCTGCGAGATGGTCCCCGAGCTCCCAGAGCGTCCCCAGTGAAAAGACGCCGCAGCGCTGCCTCTATTATGATACCGTAAATCTTTTTAAATTCTGGAACTAATTATATAGAGGATATGTCTCAATTTGTTCTGCATTAATGCCACAGTGGGGATGGAAGCCGGGCTGTGGCCAGAGCAGATACTCGGCCCATGAAATTGATGAACTGAGAGTTGCTTCCAGTCCCGAGCGCACCATCTGGAATTCCAGTCTGAGGTTACAATTAGAACTCCTGACCCCAGATTCAACTCTGCAAACAACAGGGGGAAAAATGAGAAAAAGAAAAAAGCAAAAGGGAAAAAACTCAACATACTCTGCACCTGTAAAAAAAAATCCCCACACAATCTTAAAATCTATCTATCTTAGAAGATTCTTTCCAAGCATTTCTTTTGTGTTTTTTAAACCTGCAAAAGATAATGGAATCTACTTTATAGACTGGACCTTATCTTATCTCCTTTCCGTCTCCGGACTGCAGTCAGTTTAATAGTTGTCAGTTTTGCCTCAGTGTTGGATTTGATTATATAGGACCAAAATATTCTTCAGTAAATTAGCTTGCGAAATATTCTGTCGCTGTTGTGATTCCGCCGTTGAGAAACAGCTTAATTGCAGAAATCTATCTGGATCTAGCAACTTTTCTTTTTTTTGACTGTTGCTCCAGCTTAACTGTAATTAGAGATTTTATTTGTCTTGTAACTTTATTTGTGTTCTAAATCCATTGGGCCAGTTTCTTCCTTCTTTCTTTAGTAACACGCTGCTTTCTTTTCCTCTGACTTTGACCCCCTGAAGAAAGCGAAGGACCAGGCACTACTGGGGAATCTGTTAAATTTATTAGCATAAATGCTTAGACAAAACGAGATATAAATCATTCAGATGTATTAAGCCATAAAATATCCCAATGAAGTCAGTCTCTCGCCAGGGTCCTGGTGTATAAATGTTCGTATAAAACAAGGTATCGGTATTATCTTTCAAACTGAATATATGTTGTAAAAATATCCAAATGCTGAGTTAGGAATATGGGGGCGGTGGCAGGGCAGAAGGAGGTGTTCTTTAGAGCAGGCTGTTAGCATTGTGGTGGCTCAAAAAATGTGACAGAAACGAAAAATCTCAACAGTTTGCATTTGGAATATTCCGTAGACAATTTTTTAGAGAAAATTTTGCAGGATATATTTGATGGGAAGCAAAGGAATAAGGAAGGAAGAGATAAAGAGCAAAAGGCATTGCTTTCTGTAGAATGCATTTCTTTTTTCCCAAAAGTCAATTTAGCTGCAAAAAAATATCTGCTCAGAAAAGGCGCTGGCTCTTTGTACAGACACGGATGAGCCATTAAGTAAGGAGCCACCTGGGCCTGCGTCTGCGAACCCGGATATGCAGCTGGTCTGCCAGAGAAGGCTGTGTATTCACCAGAGTTGGACGAGAGAAGAAGGGTGGGGAGTGAGGCAGGGGAATTGCCGGAATCCCCAGCAGAGGTTTACCCGGACAGAAATCAGAGAAATGTCTAAGGAGCAATGGCTCTCAAAGCTCATAGGCACAGCTCTCCGTAAATCTTGGCAAAGCAGGGCATTCTTTCCCTCTTAGGAGTGGTTTTTCTGAAGCTTTTTTTTTTTTTTTTAATTAAGGAGTCTACCAGAGAAAGGGAACAGTCTCCCTTTATTTTCAGCAGGAGCATCCTCATCCTTTCGGTGCCATGCAGCGACTGTTGACTGGCACTTCCTAAGCGCCAGGCACCGTGCGGG